GGACAAGTCCCACTCTTGGCCTGTTCATGCTTACCAGTGCTGTTTTCACCAGAGTCACAGTTCATCCACTAATGGCAGAATAACGACATAACGTGAGTCATTGGCCCCCACTGCCCCCAGTACCAGTTTCTTTGCGGCATGTAATATTAGATCAATGCCTCTGGTCCTCTGGATTAAAGCGATACTGCTGAAGCTATTACCACGAATGATTGGAGCCACAAGAAGCTGGCTTGCTTTTACGAAGGTATTTTCTTAAGTTGTACAAAGTCTGGAGCGGTACAGCTCTATGAATCCCCCTCGGTCATGACCGTCGGGTGAAACTCGGATTGCGGTCAGGATCCCGATCGCAGGCCATGGCCCCTGCGGTTGGCCGCGGCCGAGATTTTCACATATTAAAAAAAATAAATTAATGGACCAAAAAAATAAAAAACAAATGGGGTTGTAGGGTTTGAAAATACCTACAACCTTAGAATTTTTGTTTTGCATTATGAAGTGTTTGCGAGGAACGAGCCTTCACAAGGGCCCTTATCGGGCAAACACATGTTCTGGGCAGAGGCCCCTAGCAAGCAAAGTGCCCGCCCTAAGTGAAGGCGAGCCTAAATATTCATCAGAGGCCAAAATTCAACATTTTCATATATGGGTATTAAGGCTGTTGCAGCCCGCCAGTTGGTTGAATGGACGCGCGAGCCTCGCTAAGCTGCGTCGTACAGTTGGCCCAGGCCTTGGCAGTTGCGCCTGGGCACATACACACAAAGCAGGGCGGATGCATGATGACGTGGCCACTGACCTATGCAAAAGCAATAATATCGACGTAACTACCCCACGGTCCTGTGCAAATGCAGCAAACAGCCCAAGTCCGGAGACTCAGGTCGTACCCAGCTGTAAAGGGCCCAGGCCCTCAACTGTAGTCTCTGGCCTGGGCGCAGGAACTAGGGCCCAACAGGAAGCTACTAGACGCCTCCAGCAAAGCCACACGCAGCATCCAGGAGGCTGCCACTTCCATATAGGAAGAGAGGCAGCCCAGGCCAGACATTCTGGCCCACGCAGGCAATGCGGTCACATTGCTGCGCTGCTGCATTGGATGCTGCGATGAGGTCAGTGCGCTTGCAGGGCGCGTTGAGGTGAAGGGGGCGCTGCAGGGCAGCGGTGCGCTGGAAGCCATAGCCGGGCTGCTGGGTGTTAGGGGTTAAGAGGGCGATCTGGTGGTCTTCAGGGAACGAGGCGAGTGTGTGGGTTATCAAGGTCTGATGAGGGTGATAAGATACGTACCTGGTGCATGAAGAAAGGTCCGCTATGGTGTTGACATCATGTATATTGGTCTTCGAGAGTCGAAGTGAACCTGTTGCGTCAACACAGTTGTAGGTAGGATTGAATTTCCTGATTTCTTCCCCCCCCCCAAGTAATTGTCTTGTGCCTGCTGCTTGGTTTGGATAGACATCCCTAGAATTGTAAGGAAGGGGTTATTAGTTATAGGCCTGATGGAGACAACTGGTAAAGTGCTTGATAGTCAAGATTTTTTGGCGCTTTTAAGGGTGAAGAGGCACTCAACTAGTTCACTTTACTGTCCTTCCTGTTGGTCTATGGTCATCAGAGCAATAGCGCAGGATTTCTTGGCTCATATTTTCATCATCATTCTTATACGAGGGAAATTGAGATTTGTTCTCAGTATGCTCTATTTGGTTACTTCCGGGTAGACTGTCAGGACCCCGGCCTCGATCTTCACATTGGTAATATCAACCTTGGGCACTGGGCCCTTTCAAAAAAAAAAAAAAAAAAAAAAAAAAAAAACAGTTGTTGGTAGGATAGTCGCGTAGGGTAGGCTAGGTGCTGGGCGCCAGACAGAGAGGAGTGACTTTGGATACTGTGTTGGTGTGGCCTGAGTGCTTGAACATTGGCTCATTACTTCATTGTATTACTCTATTTGGATGGATTCTCGGTGCAATTGTACTCTCTGCTTGTACACGACTACTTGGACATCTATGTGATTTCACAACTTGGTTTTCTGTATATCGTTCACACTCATATTCCTTGCAATTTGCTATTGGAGCCGGTTCATGATCGCCACTTACCTGGCGCACGCGACATTGTTACTTGGTGCGCTGACGATGCTTCATGTGTAGTAAGGATACGTTGGCACTGGCTTGATAGAGTGGGGCCCAGGTAGAGGGGCGGGCCGCTGGAAGGCTGTGGCGACGGCATGGGAACTGTGGCGACAATGGATGTATGTGTGGTGATGAGAGCATGCTGACGTGGCTGTCTTGAGTAGAGAGAGACGAGGAAGGAGTGAGAGGACCAGAGGAGGGAAGAGGACGGAGATAAGAGATATGACAGATGATAGGAGGGGAGCTATGGATGGAGCCCGTTTTCGGAGCGATGCGCACCGTATTTGCCCCGTTAGGAGCGAGTTCCACTACGCGAAAGCAGCCAGAAAACTTGGGAGCAACTTTCCGGTCGCGTGCACATTTACGTAGCTATACTAGGTCCCCCAATTTATACCGGATTTTAGGGCCTGCATTCCCGTTCCGGGCCTCTGGCCGCTAGACCGTAGCAGGCAACAGAACTATTGGAGGTAGTGGGAGACCTACTAGTGGTTGTGGCAGTGTTGCTGAGCTTTTTAGGGCACGACCGATTAACGTTTAGCTGATAAGAGAGCAAACTTGGGTTGTACCCATTGAGATCAAGAGTGCCTGGAATATGGTACTTTCTATAGACTCTGAGGCGCAAGGGTACAAGGTGGGAAACCTTGTCATGACATTATCTGGTCCGACGGGCCTCTCCTTTGGTATCGGCTTTGCTTCTTCTGTTTGGGTGGATCTTTCTTGGGAATTCTTCAAAGCACTTGCTCCAGATAGAACTCTGTAGTTTGCTTTAGATCATTAGGTATTTGTCATCTCTTGACTATTCACTCAGGTTTTTTTATTTTAGGGTTGGCCATAGGCACATGGTTTTTTTGTTGTCGGTAATTGTCTGAGTGGTTTCTCAGCCGAACCCGGGTAATGGCCCCGGTATCTCACGGTATCTCACATATGGTTCATAATTCATCTTGTATCTTCCTGGAATGCTGAGCCCGGTTCTCAACACATGATGCTCCCACGAATAGATTGAAGCTTTTGTAAAAATAAAAAATATATAAAAAAAAACTATTCGCATTAGGTGTTGGTCTCCTGGGGCGAGGTCCCATTAGCAGTCGGATAGGAGTGCGGCCGATCCATTATGACACTGAGTGTCAGTATGCTGATAGGTTCATTGTGAATTTCTGAGGTGAAAAAACAGGAGAAAGCAAAARAAAAAAAAAAAAAAACAGAGACCTCCCATCGGAAATCACGTCAGAGTGTTTCCCAACCATCAAATCACAAATGATCTGATGGTGGTGGTTGCAACAACAGTGAACAAAGTAACTGTTAAATTTTCTAGAATAAAGTCGACTTCTGTCGGCAGTCATCCCGACACCCTTCTTATACTCCGTGATTGAAGGAGGGCTCCACCCAATGAGATAATTGCACAACAACAAGTAACATACCGAGTGGGCCTATGGCCGACCCCACCCTCTTTTGGGGTTGGCCACACCCCCAACCGGTTGAAAGGATTCTGATGGGAAGCTTTCTTTGCAGGAGCATGCCCAGTGTTAAGGACAGGAAAAAGGGGGAGCAAAAATCTCCTTACTTTTTTGGGTAATACAGATGAAGTACTGACCGTGGGATCACGAGTATTGCACGGGCGTCGACAGGATTTGGGTCACTCAACTGCCCCGCAAACTCGTTTCTATCTTTTTTTCTTTTCTTTTACTTCGTATACTGGAAACCTACTTAACGAGGTGATAAGAGCATCCCCGGTAAGTAGGTCCCAGCATGGAAGGTTTCATCTATTGGTGGAGAGCAACACCTACTAGAAATCGGGTACAGCATCCCTGTACAATGATGTGAATGTATCCACTGGAAATCGGGTTCAGCGTCCCTGTACAATGATGTGAATGTATTTGCTGGAAATCGGGTCCAGCATCCCTATACAATGATGTGAATGTATCTGCTGGAAATCAGGCTCAGCGTCCCTGTACAATGTTGTGAATGTATCTATAGAAATCGGGTCCAGCGTCCCTGTACAATGATGTGAATGTATCTGCCAGAAATCGGGTCCAGCGTTCGTATGCAGAGATGTATTGATATCTCCAACTACCTATGTATACATGTTAAGCAATATATATCTGATGATGGGATACCCTATCCATTTGATCTGTAGTATCTCCAAAACAAACTTAGGCATTGAGCCCAATCTTATTTATCGGACGGAGCCCTAATCTTGATGTGACGTGTATTACAATAATGTGATGTGTGTCAGTCGGAAATCGGGTCCAACGTCCCTGCACAGTGATGTGTAACTATGTCCTACAATCAGAAACTGTTTGTATATGTACAACAAACCATATAAGACAACATCCAATCTGTTTGTCTTCATTCATCGATTAATACGTGTCCCCTGAAGGGAAAACCCTATCCCCTAACCTAGCATATCACTGAGGCATCAAGCCCAATTCTATAACCCAATTCAGAAATCGAACCCCAACAGGGCCAACACAACTGTGAAGCAAGACCGCAGAGCTGGTGTACTGTATATGAGCTGGAAACCAAGTCCAACATCTTTATACTATGATGTATGCAGGCAGACCATTGAAAATCTGAACACGAAACCCTAACAATGATCGCACGAATGATCCTGCCACGAAACCCTAGCAAAGATGTGATGCATGTGTTCTATATCAATCAAAATGTAAACACAAAACCCTAACATTGATGTAATATGTATGAATCAGTGTGATCTTTACCAATCAAGTCAAAACTCAAAACTCAATCAATGATGTGATACGTGCGATCCGGGCGTCGAGTCCATCACAATAACGCGTGAAACTAGCACACAGAGGGGCATTGGTTGCTTCCCTGCGCAAGGGACGGATTGGCCTCCTGCAACCTAATCCCTAAACAACACACCTCCCACCCACGGGGCGATCAACACCCAATTGTTCATTGACGCTGCGGGTCGGGTAACAACAATCATCATTGACTACCCTATTCCTATCCTCTGCCAATCACCGAGGATCAGTCCCATATCGAGGTTGGAGGGGGGAAAGATAGTAAACCATTTTTTCGTGTCAACCCCAATCCCCATCACGACCGCTTGCGACATCTCTCTCATCATGCTAATGATGATCTCAGATGCACAGACACTGCTCTTTGCCCCGCTGCTGCCGTGGACGTCGTTGTTGTCGTCATTGTTGTTGTTATTGTAGTTGTAGTTGTTGTTGTTGTTGTCAGCGCCAGTCCCCCCCACATCCGCACATGACATCTCTCCCATCATGTTGATGATGATCTCAGATGCACGGACATCGCTCTTTGCCCCGCTGCTGTCGTTATTGTTGTTGTTGTTTGCCCTACTGCTGTCGTGGTCATTGCTGCCGTCGTCGCCGTTGTTGTTGTTATTGTTATTGTTGCTGTTGTTATTATTGTTATCGTTGTTGTTGTCCTTGATGTTGATGTTTCTGAAGTTGTTGTTGTTGTTGTTGTTGTTGTCCTTGCTCTTGTCGGAGTTGTCGCTGTAATTATCTTCGCCGACATCCGATCCGCCCTCCACCCAGTCACCCTTGTCGCCCTTATCGGCGTTGTCGCCCATCTTGCCCGTTCCCTGTCGAGTCTCTAGTTGATTGCGTAGATTATGACCTGTTATAAAGAGGGCTTTGCGAACACTCATTCTATCATCCGCCCGCCTCCAGTGGATGTTGGCCTTGAGCCAGGAATCCGGCCTCTCCTTCAGCTCCCACATGATGTCTTGCATCTCTTGGATCCTGTCTTCTAACCACTGTCCATGGAGATCGCCCGCTGGAACCGGTTTCCAGCAAAGCCTAAACTAGGTATCGGTCCCAAAGATTCAGGGTTGAGATGTTGAGGGATTCCCGACCTCAATTCTCCGTTTTTTTTTAATAGGAATTCAGGGTTGAGATGTTGAGGGATTCCCGACCTCAGTTCTCCATTTTTTTTAATACAACTGCAACTTCAAAAAAAAAAAAAAAAAAAGGGTAACTTTCCCAAAATAAAAATAAACAAATGGGGGTAACTTCTGAACAGTCACAAAAACAGTCTGACAAGAAAAAAAAAAACAGTTAAAAATTACACTTCATAGAAAATTATACAGGCCTTAGGGCCTCGCCACACCACTCCTGAAAACTCATTTTCAAAGTTGCTGCATCGCCACAGAGCCTCTTGAAACGTGGGGCTGTCAAGAGCTGTCAGGGTGGCTCTTGAAACCCTTTCAAGAGCAGCTATTGAAAGATTGAAAACCCTAGCCTGCAACTCGTGTGTTTTCAAGTGTCCTTGGCCGAACCATTGAGGGACTTCCGACTTTCAAGAGGTGCCAGGCCGCCATTCGAAAAAAACAAAGTTGTACAACTGTCGTTTTCTTTGTCCAACACCATCGCCCTTTCGAGAGTGCAGTGCGGCGAGGGGCCGAAAACTCTTGAAAACCCAACTCTTGAGAACGTCTGACAGCTCTTGAAAAATTTCCCGTTTTCAAGAGTGGTGTGGTGAGACCCTTAGTAGTGGTAGGTAGGCAGTGTAAGGTGGATGCAATTGAAAGAAGAATCTAGCTTAGTTTGGGGAAAAAAAAAACAAAAAAATTGAGGGCATGCTCAGACTGGGACTTTTCTGAATGCATCTGACTGCAATCAGTGCCCATCCATGATGTATCTGACTACAAGTACGTCCAAAAAGCTCACTAGGGAAAGTCCTAACGTGAATTTCCCTGAGGCTTTGACAATGAAGTGTATTCTAATTGTAATTTACGGTGAGCAGTGAGGGGTTATCTTCAACTGTAGTGGGCGAGTTCCCAAAAGACAATCGCGACAAACTTGTTGACACAACAATTCAACGTATGAATGTTTAGGAAGCTATTAATACTTCCTTGGTGACAATGGTGGGCAGAGCCTTGGCAATCAACAATGTCGTTTTTGCGGCAATATGGTATAAAGTGGCATTTTGGCAACTTAGTAAGAGGCAATTAATGACTTCGAAACGGGCTGCATCCGCCTACCTCTGGCGTGGGGACCATGAATGCACCACATGTATCAGGAGGGTGGCATGGGATGTTGTCATATAGCCACGTGTCAAAGGGGGGTTAGGACTATTTGACCCGGAGAACGAAACAAAAGCGCTGATATTTAAGTTTATTATAAGGTGGTCGTTAGGCAATGATATCCCCTGGGCACCATATGTAGCCATCTAAATATCTGCCCTAACACCACAATGCACAAATTTCAATCGAATCCATCTGTTGCGATGGCTGACCAACAAACATTGGTCGATCCTCGCACCCCCCCGCAATAGAAGAGACGACACGCCTGCTGCCACAGCCAAAGGAGACCTCAGGGTCGATCCCCTCTGGACCAACATGTTGCGTCTATGGAGAGAACGAGGTCCAGCCCAAAAATCTGTGTTCAACTTGCTTAGATGAGATGAAATATGAAGACAGCCTCTGTTTCGGAACTCATCCATATTAGATCACATGGCAACCCTTTCTCGCTCCAAACGGGTTCGAAATGGCTCCCCTCGGTGAGGAAAGGGATTTACACAGTTGGTGATTTGTGGAATATTCAAGCAAGCACATGTTTGTCGGTCCAGGATCTTCGACGAAAGTTTAATCACATTAGAAAGATGGAGGAGGCACTGCAAGAGATCCAAGATGGTGGCCCCCTCGCATGGGTTTTGGACCCCAAGAAAGGCCCGACATTAAGGCAGGGGGACTGGGTGGTACGACCAAAGGACTGACTGATCTCCATGGCAGTTTACAAGGTGGGGGAAGTTAATTCACACGAGGCGAGGCTTAACGCATACACACCACACCTCCCTGGAGATAGATGGTTCAAATTGGACTGTCATGAAGACCTGAATTGTTGCATACCCACCACGGGTCTTGTTAGAATATGTGTGATTAGTGATAATAACAATTGACTATTTGTCTATGAGCCGACCACCCCCCTATGCCAGCTGCCGTTCGACCCACAAGAGTTGGAATGAGACATGGGAGGATCTTGTAAGCTCCAGATATGGCAATACACAGTTAAAAATGGATACCGAACAACGAGGAAACCGGGACACATATTCGAATCAATAAAACTGCGATGGGCGAGAGACTCTCCCCTCAACACAGAAAATTTGAAAACACTCCGATGGGCCACCTACTACTCGGTTGTGCGCCCTACCAACCTGTGTGTTGCAGTGGCAGACTATCCACATGTGCCTATGTACCCCGGAGTGGATTGTGTCCATAATAAATTTGGACGCCTGGGGAGTGTTGTTTGAGCCTGTCTCCGCTCCGTACCTACTTCGGGGGGACCTCCCCCAAGAAACGAGCTACATTTGAACATTGTCTGCTGGACTGCACCATGGTGGCTCAACTTTGGCAATGGTGGGACACAACATGGCATCATCTAACGGGCATCTACTTCCCATGGGACCTCAAGGTTATTATTTTGGGGGATTCACCCTCGTTCGCACCCAGGTGGACACCCTTCAGCCTCAACCTGTTGAAAGTAGCAAGGCTCCCACTGCTCATGAATGCATGTCGAATGAGATGTGCATATGAGCACAGGCAACACACATATGGCTATATGGAAGCTCGACCCTTGATTCTAGAAGCAATCATTACCAACACACATGTGGTTTGGCAAGAGCTCAGGAATACGCTATTAAAGGAACTAGATATAACCAAACAGAAAGAACTCTCCGATAATTTCCGGTCTGTCTGGGTGGATGGTGCGGGGAGACTCTGCGAATTGGACCAACACAACCAACTACGATGGAAACAGTGGTTGTTGACAGAACCACAGTGGGAACGTCTACCGAGAAGCCACTTCCAGTTCCCATTCCAACCGACCAACTTCATCCTAATCCCGGGATGACAAGGCACAAAGTGCAATACACTCCTTGCTCATGCTTCCCCTCCCCACACCTACCGTCCTCCTCCTGAACCCTCCAAAGCCCACCCCAAACTGCCTCTTAACCCTGTCCCCCTGTCCTCCTATCCTCCTTCCCCCTACCCCCCTTCCCCGCCCACACCCAAGTCCTTTTGCAGAAGGCCGGCCAACCAGGGACCTCCAACGAGAGGAGCAGCGGAAGAGGTGACTACTCAGAGACTACTCAGAGACAGAAGATGAACGCAGCAACCAAGTCATGATAATGGATCTAATGATGTATAATGGATTGTGGAAAGTAGACAATAGACGGAATCCTACTGCCGGTGTGACTGGGACGGTGAGAACAGATGCATTCTTGGGCGGATAGATGAAGTTCTGGGTTGTGGGTGGCCTAGGCTGTCGGCCTTGCCTCTCACAACTACATGCAGACCAGGTATCAGGTGGAATGTTGCCATAGGGACCTAAGGGCTTAAGGGTTTAAAGGTTTGAGATGTAAAAGACCTAGCAATCGGTGAAACGACGGCCAACATGTGTTAAGGGACTAATGGATTCACTAGAGGATGGCCAGAGTCAGAAGAAGGGAGCATGAACAGGGTGACGAGAGTGCAGCTTGGACAAAGAGGGGGGACTAGTTACGCTGTGTATGATAGGACCTGCTTGCCAAATAACTGACTCATATGCATACCACAGAAAACACAATCTCGAATATACTCATCGGCAAACCAGGGCTGATGAGAGCATTGGGTTAGAACTTAGAAGGGCGGGCGTTTTGTCGAGGTAGAGGTACCCAGGGGCCTATGGTTAGAGCCTCATTCGACACCACTTGAACTAAGGGTTGACGAAATTTTTTTCGTTCCAGCCGTCCCTAATGACCCCGCCGCAATGTTTTCGCTTTGTTGCTCTCAAGTGCGTTGTGACGAACCATTTTCTGTAATCATGCGACTTTCTGCGTGAAGCTGATTTGGGGGAACGGGGCGGGTTAGTCGGGTGAAGTACGTGGGGATGGGTTGGCTGGGCGAGTTGCATGGATGCCCTCGTTTCTTTTTCGTTTTCCTTTTCGATTTTTGTTGGGCCAGTATCGAGAAAAATCCCGCGTAGGCAGTTAGGAGACCTCGCCTTAGGGAGCGTGAGAAATAACTGTGTCATAGGCTCATAGCTTCCTTCTCGTTCTGCTGGGACTAAGGGGAACGATAATTTTAGCGCTCCGAACGTGCGGGAATGCCGTTTTCTTTTTCGAGCGGGAATGACGTTTTTTTTTTCCCTTCAACTGATGTCGAGCCCCTTGGGCTCCTCAGAATTGTTTTTGAGTTTCGTTTTTCGGAATTCTCTTTTTCTACAATTCAGACTTAGATAGGAGTTTAGGAACTTTGAAATTTGTGTTGCGCTATGCTTGCGCGCGCCTTCCTGCGGCGGGAGCAGAGTTCTGATTGAGTGGCGCCCTCAATCTTGCGTGTAATTGTAACTTTTGGCGGGCGAAATTGTAACTGTATCTTTGTTCTTGATTCTCTCGCCATCTTCCCGCCTCCTTTCTTCCTGCTACGCTTGTGCCTCCCTACGATCTGATTGGCTAAGACGTTGCATGCTCAGATCGATGCGTGGAGAGTGGCTACGTCCCCCGCACCGGGGCCTGGCCATGCAAAACGTGGGTACTTCCTTTATCCCCCCCTCCTTCTCGAAATCGCAATCCCGTATCCGTCGCGCATACATGCACGCTATAAATCATGCCAGCGCGATTAAAGCTCTCTCTAAAAACTTCAGGACATTCCAAGGGTTAGCGCGATCAGTGGGGGTCGGCTAACGTGTAAGTGAAGAGGTGAGTTGATGTGGGAGTTGGGCGACCCGACGAGCTGATGCTGAGTATGCAGGGTTGATGTGCGGGCCGCGACGGACTGTGACGCGCATGCGAAC